CTTCTACTCTTCGTGATCCGCCGCCGCACCCTCGCCTCGCCCTCCCGCCGCCTAGCCGCTCGCTCGCCGTTCGCTCGCCCGCTCGCGCCAGACCTTCTACCTCTTCGTGATCCGCCCGCCGCCACCCTCGCCTCACCCTCCCGCCGCCAAGCCGCTCGCTCGCCGTTCGCTCGCCCGCTCGCGCCAGACCTTCTACCTCCTCGTGATCCGCCCGCCGCCACCCTCGCCTCGCCCTCCCGCCGCCTAGCCGCTCGCTCGCTCCTATCCGTGCCACCCTATCCGTGGTCCCGCCGCCACCGCGCCATCCTCGCTCCTTCCTGCCGCCGCCCTCTGCTCAGTCGTTTGACCCGCCGCCCAATGCTCCGCCGTTCGCTGCCGTGGACTGCCGCCGTGCCGCCGCTCCTTACCGTGCCGCTCCTTCCGCGCCTCGCCGCCCTTGCCATTGATTCGCCGTCCCTCCTGCCGTGCGTTACCGCCGTGCCGCCATACCGCCGCTCCTACAGTGCCGCGCCGCCTCCCACGCGCACACACCTTACCTCCTGCTCGACCGAGTTTGCGATGAGAAGTGACCCGAGCCGCCGGGTGCCCCGCAGCGGCCTCGCTGGACCAGAAGAACCGGTCCGCGAGTGCTCCGCAGCAGCCTCGCTGAGCCAGAACGTCGGCTCGCGAGGTGGGGTGCTAGTATGAGCCCGATCCGTCGTAGAGTTCTTGCGCTTCGGCGGTTAGTGGTGCGCTAACCTCCGAGAAACCCTTCGGGTCGCTCCTCATCGCAAACCCTGTCAGCAGAGTCTCCTACGGGAATGTACGTAAGAGCTACATACACTGAAAAAGAAATCTTCTATCCCACACCCGAGAAACACATGGCCGTGCGCTTGGTGTTGAGGCACTCTTTGCTTCTGCTCGTCCTGTTCTCAGCCACCTCCGCCTTGCCCTCTCGCCCGGCCGCATCACGTCGCGCCCTCAACCGCGACTGGTACGCGCGCCGCGCCGCGGCCGACCCGGCGGCGCGGCGCAAGCGGCGTGGCTCCCGCGCGTCGCGGGCAGAGCGCGCGGCGGACGCGCTCTACGAGCCAGTCTCCATCGATCCGAGCGTGTGCTTCCCGGGCCTCGCGCAGGCGGAGCTCGAGGCGGCGGCCGAGCGCCTCCTTGCGGACTGCCACGCTACGTCAGCGCGGCAGCCGCCGCCACAGCCGCCGCCGCCGGCCGCCGCCGCATCTCCGGCGGCGTCGTCCGCAGGCTTGGCCGGCGGCGTGATGTGGGGCGACTGCTCCGTCGGCCCGGTCTTGCGCCAGCGCCTCGTCGGCGCCGGCCTACAGGCGCCGACCGCCATCCAGTCTGCCGCCTTCGGTCCGCTCTCGCGCGGCTCCAACGGGCTCCTCTCGGCGCAGACGGGCGCGGGCAAGACGCTCGCCTTCGTCCTTCCGCTCCTGAG